GTAGAGGAGCCGTTTTTGTGGCACTGAGAAACCTGGGCTGAAAATCAAAGTCAACATTGTTCTGCAAGCCTAGTTCTGCGAAGGCCTTAAAGGCACGACACAGCAAACTCCTTCCTCTGGTAGCCGGTCCGACGCAAGAAAAACTGGTCGTGCCGTTGGAAAAAACTGGCCAGTGGGCAGTCCTAGTGACAAACCACTCTGCCCTTGAAAACCCCTCCACCCCCGATCAGCAGTAACATATGACTCTGAAACGTGGCAGTCATTCAGTTTTATTATGATTAAACGCAATTTCTCTGTGTCATCCTAAGGGAATTTAGCACACCTCCTTTGAACTACAAGACTGTGAACGGATAACACACCAACATGTGTATTCAGTACTGTTACGTCATGTGCACATATTCACTGAACGTGTATTTCTGAAAATAAAACAAACAATAGCCCAGGGAGTGGATAAGGAACGAAGTGTGACCCGTCTCCCCTCCCCTGTTCTCAAATCCCTTCTAGAAAAACATCCAGCAATACGGATGAGAGAAATAAAGATTTGGGAAGCAACCCTGGGAATGTTGTTCCCTCAGACCTCTCGAGGATTCACCATTCGGCACGGACTCAGGAGAAGCTCAGATCACCATGTGCTTCAGCAAAGACTCTTCCATATCCATCTGCCCCCTTCTCTAGGCACTCACCTCCCCCCAACTCAGTGGTCCCCAGCATGGGGCCTGTGAGCAGCATGGGGCCCACCAACACCTTTTCTGGTGCCTGACCATTGTTTTCAGAAAGGGGGTGGAGCCAAGAAAGGCTCTTGCCCAGCACAACTTCTGATTGGCCACTGGAGATCTGATTGGCTGTGTAGATCGAAATAACGATGATTCGGCAGCAGATCAGAACGTAAGAACGTAAGAGACGCCAATGTTGGATCAGGCCAATGGCCCATCGAGTCCAACACTCTGTCACACAGTGGCCAAAAATACCAGGTGCCATTAGGAGGTCCAGCAGTGGGGCCAGGAGGACACTAGAAGCCCTCCCACTGTTCCCCCCCAAGCACCAAGAATACAGAGCGTCCCTTGCCCCAGCCTGAGAGTTCCTATCTATAAAAGGTAAAGGTTCCCTTGCTCGAAAGCCAGTCAAGTCCGACTCTAGGGTTGCGGTGCTCATCTCTGTTTCAAAGCCGAAGAGCCAGCGCTGTCCGAAGACATTTCCGTGGTCATGTGGCCGGCATGACTAAATACCAAGGCGCACGGAACACTGTTACCTTCCCACCAAAGTGGTACCTATTTATCTACTTGCAATTTCTTGCTTTCAAACTGCTAGGTTGGCAGGAGCTGGAACTAGAGACGGGAGCTCACTCGTCATGCGGCAACTCTGGTCTCGAACTGCTGAACTACCGACCTTCCACAGCCTGCAGTTCAGCGTCTTAACCACTTGAGCCACCACAGCTCCTATCTATACCTTGTGGCTAATAAACACTGATGGACTTCTGCCCCCCATGTTGGTTTTATTCTCTCTCTCTCTCTCTCTCTCTCTCTCCCCCTCTCTCTCCCCCTCTCTCTCTCTGTCTCCTCTTTCACAGTGTATTTTCAAACTACCCCTCTTCTCACCTGCCCCCGGACTTCCTCTGGGTGTGGGTATGACTCCGCCTCCCACAGCAGCCATTTTGTGGTTCCACCCACCACCCTGTGTCGGAATTCTAAAGGTGCCCACAGCCTCAGAAAGTTTGGGGAACCCCTGCTCCAGCCACACCAGCTTTCCAGCACCCTCCTATACCCTCCTTGGAGTGCCAGAAACTGGAATCCAACCTATCTCTCCTGAGTCCAAATGCCCCAGAGCAGAGGTATCGGACTCCTTTGTTACGAGGGCCTGATCTGACATAAATGTCACTTTGTCAAGCTGGGCCAAGGCCATGTGTGCCATAAAACGTAATGCCAGGTACCGGAGACATAAACTGCATAAAGGACAGCAGCTGGTAAGCTCCGAGTTGGTGTGTCCTCACCGCAAGGCCCCATGGGTTGGGAAGAGGGTGCCAAGGAAAACCCACATGGGCAGACTGGAGAGCCAGTGGAGCAGCACTGGGCAGACGCTCCCACACTGCTTGACTGCTGCAGATGAGGTTGTCCTGCCATGCTGAAGCCACAATCGGAGTGGCTCGGCCCACTCCCCCCTGAACAGTCTCCTGTTCCCCCCCTTGCACTAGTTGCTCGCGGGCCATATAAGAGCCCTGGATGGGCCGATTCCGGTCCCCGCCCTTGTGTTTGACACCCCTGCCCTTTGGGATTCCTTCTCTCTCCTTCCATCCTTCGGGTTGCCAACAGGCCCGGAATAAAACCTCCTTTCCCATGAATAGAGGCATAATGAGTGGAAATGGCATGCCGATAAATTACACCTTGGTCAATAGCATCCTATTAAGCCTCTGGTCAAGGGACAGGTCCCTTTTTTTTTGCTCCAGGCAGGTGGCAACCCTGTCCCCTCCCCCACCCTCTCAGACTGTACGACACAATTTTAAAAAAAATTAAAAATTAAAAAAAGAACTTTCTATAAATAGCTCAGATACACCATGGAAGATTTTTTTCCCCCTTCCGTGAAAAAGAAGTCCCAAGAAAGCTGTACATAAGTCTTTCCATGTCTGTTTGCCAAACACATTGGAAGACCATACTTGTGATGCAAGGGTCCGTTTGTTGGGGGGGGGGTGTCCGTTATCAGCAGAAGTACTCGTTGGGCTGTCCTTCTGTCTTTGCTACTGCCTCTGAGTCCACACTGGACCTGGCGGAGAGCAACCGGTTGGATTCGTCGGGCGTGTGTCTAGTCAAGTATCCCCCTTCCATTCCCTTGACTTTGGCCCCTGGAGACAGGCTTTCAAAGGTGACGTAGGAGTCCTGGATTTCCTTGGGCTTCCGGATGAAACATTTTTTACACCGCCTCTTCAGGGCTCCACAGCAGACCACCAGGGTGAGAGGGACGGCAATGACACACGCCACGCTGATGACCACCACGTTGATGAGTTTTTGGGTTCCACCAGCACTGGCAACTTCGTCCGTGGAAAATATGATGCACTGCTCCTTCTTGGGAATGAGCCCTTTCATGCTGACGCAGACTATGTATTTGGTCTGGGGCATCAGATCATTGATGGTGACCTTGGTCTTACCTGGCTCCACGTTGATTCTACGCATGTCCCGTTCTCCAAAGATAGCATAGAGAACGCTGAATGCTGTGGTATTATTGGCCAGGGGAGCTTTCCATGCTAATGTGACGCTACGGTCTGTGTCGCCTATGACTCTGACGGAGCGCACTATGCGTTCGGGCTCCTCCTGGCCAGTCGACGGGCTCGCTAAGAGATTTCTCGGATCGTTGATCATGTTCAGGGCCTGGTCTTGGAGCACCAGGTTCCCTTCTGTGTTGGCACGGATCGATTTGGCGCCCAAGGTGGGTGAAGTGGACGTCGTGATGACGTATCGCGCTACCAAGTTGTCGTTGTAAGCGGCCGCCTCCATGCCGCTCATTTTCCCCTGCCATGTCCCTTTCAGATTTGCCCCGGGGTCATCGGTGCTCTCAGAGTCAGTGATGATCAGGGAAATAAATGCCTCTGTGGCTCCGAGAAAATTTTTCGCTTTGCATATGTATTCTCCGGAATCGAGGTACGAGACGACGGGCAAACCTAAAATCGACCAGCTCATTCCATCACTGGAAATTTCTTGGTGTACTGAAAGAGAGAGAGAGAAAACCAGGATTGGGGGGGCGGGAATTACATGTACAGTATTCGCCAGGGGTCATTTCGTAGAAAAAGAGGTCCAGGAGCTCATTAGAGTAACTTATTAGCATAACTTATTTGCATATGCCACACCCCCTGACATCACCGGAAGTGTGTCAGAAGGCAACACCCACCGCTCAGGCTCCACTGGACTGTTTTGGATTGCTAGCTATTGGGTGGGGGGGGAACATGCAGATCTGCCCTTGCAGAGGAGGGAGAGCTTGTACCTGAATAAAACTTGGTCTTAAGGTGCCACTGGACTGTTTTGAGTTGCTAGCTGGGGGGGGGGATGTGCAGATCTACCCTCACAGAGGAGAGAGAGCTTGTACCTGAAGGCGGGCCGGGGGGGGGCTCTGCAACTTACCTGGCTGCTTCTTGCTCCTTGTGGCCCGACTGAGGGCTGCTGGGAGCAGGGGGGGGACTTGTTGCATGGGCCCACCCCCCTGGGCTCCTTACTGCCGGAGCTCCACTCCTGTGCGCTCCCACAGGAAATGACCCCTGGTATTTGCCAAAATGGACTGTTTGGGGAATCAGGGCTTTGTTTTTCTTCTAGCTAATTATCGGAGTTAAATAAACTATCTGTAACTTCTAAGGGCATCAAATAAGAATAAATATAGTATGATCAAGGTTACAGCCTAGTTAACTGAATGGGCCAGGCAGGCCTGATCTCATCAGACCATGTAAGCTAAGCAGGGTCAGTCCTGGTTAGTACATGGATGGAAAACCAGCAAAGGAGTCCAGGGTTGCTACACAGAGGCAGGCAATGGCAACCGCCTCTGTTCATCTCTCAATGCTGGAAACAAGATAAGGTCCCGGAAATTGGGGAATGGATTAAAAAATTACTTTTTATGGTTGAAATGGACAAAATGACAAGGACACTTAATAATTTGGAAGCAGAAGAATTTTTTTGCAGACTGGAAAGACTTTAAAGACTATTTGGAGAAATACTGGGATGTGAAGGACAATTTACTTTGCTTTGAGAATTATTGAAAATTAAAGGATAGTAGAAGGATAGTAGATCTCCTGGAATGCACGCCATCTAATTCTATTACTGTATGCACTTTATTGTTAACTGTTAATTTATGTGTTGAATTGAGTATGTGATTTTATAGAGTTTTTAAGATTTTTATGGTATAGTATTAGGTACATGGTACCGCTTTGTTAGCCGCCCTGAGCCGTTCGCGGGATGGGCGGGGTATAAATATGATAAATAAATAAAAAATCAATAAAATAGATAAATGTATAAGAATAACAGTTGAAGGATAAGTTACCTGTGGATGTGAATAAGGAGAAAGGGAGGTATAAAGAAAATCTAAGAATTGAGCTGGAGGTTGGAGCACTGTGGGAAGCCGAGAAGGGGGGGGAAGGGAGGGGGGAAGGATATAGAAGTGTATAAGTTTTGATATATGTTTGAACTTTTTTTATTATATCCTAATAAATTGTTTTTGGGAAGAAGAAGAAGAAACAAGAACAGAAAGATTTTCAGAATTCCCTTGCTGGATTTGGACAAGTTCCATTCATCCCACCCTAAAACGTTGAAGTGGGAGGTCCCGGTGTTGCCCAAGGGACCACAGTACTAGCCACAGAATCTGGCTACAAGGAGCTTCACTCTGCCCTGACCTGGATAGCCCAGATCTCGGAAGCTAGGCAAGGCCAACCCTGGCAAGTGTTTGGATGGGAGACCTCCAAAGAATACCAGGGCCAGGAGTCGGAGGCAAGCTATCAAAAGTCACTTCTCTGAACAACCTCCGTGCCCCAGTAGGAGTCGCCAGAGGTCGCCATGACTTCCAGGCGCAGGTGCATGTGCGCACACACAAATGCAAAAATGCCAAAGGGGGGGGGCTCACTCTGATGAACGATATAAGAATGACCTTGCAGGTTCAGAGCAAGTTCCATGTTGTCCAGTGTTGTGTTTTCAACAGCAACCAGCCAGATGCCTCTTGGTGGTCACAAGTAGGGCATGAGGCCATGCCTTATACTCTTCCTGCCCCCATCATTTAATGTTTGGGAGCTTCTGTTTTACTGTCATAGCTAACATAAGAACATAAGAGGAGCCAATGCTGGATCAGGCCAATGGCCCATCTAGTCCAACACTCTGTCACACAGGGGCCAAAAAGTACCAGGTGCCCTCAGGAGGTCCAGCAGTGGGGCCAGGGCACTAGAAGATCCTCCACTGTTGCCCCCCTCCCCTAACACCAATTCATAGACTCATGGCTCTTTTTGTAGAAAAAGCCCAGCAGGAACTCATTAGCATAATAGGCCACACCCAACAGCAGAAACTCATTAGCATATTAGGCCACACCCCTGCCAGCACAGCTCATTAGCACATTAGGACGCACCCCCATGTTACCAGAAGTGTGGTCATCCAGCCACACCCACCTTTTGCTTCTTATTCTGTTTACCTTGTTTGTTGTCAAAACCCAGGACTTTTTTTGTAGCAGGAACTCCTTTGCATGTTAGGCCACACACCCCTAATGTAGCCAATCCTAATGAGTTTCTGCTGTTGGGTGTGGCCTATTATGCTAATGAGTTCCTGCTGGCATGGCCAACTTGGGAGCCAGCCGGAACTCCGTTCCTGTGCGTTCTTGCCCCAAAATAGCCCTGCATAGACTTATTCTTTATGAATTTGCCGAGTTATACTTAAAGCTCACCGATATAAGAATTCCTCACTGTGTGGAGAAGTACTTGGTTTTCTGAGTCCTAAACGTACCCCCAAGGAGGGAAGGTGGCCATGGTATAGCCTGACCTCATCAAATCTCAGAAGCTAAGCAGGCCGGTACTTGGAAGGGAGGCCACCAAGGAAGGCTCTGCAGAGGAAAGCACTGGCCAACCACCTCTGCTTCTCACTTGCCTTGAAAGTAGGGTTGCCAACTCACTTTTTGCCGGGAGCGGGGGGCTCCCGGCCGGCGTCCTCCTTGTGCGCGCGCGCACGCCCCGCGTGCGTCACCCGGAAGTGACGTCACACGCTGGGGGCGGGGCGACGCCATTTGAAGGGAAAACTCTTTGTTTTCCCCTCAAATGGCATCACCCCGCCCCCAGCGTGTGATGTCACTTCCGGGTGATGCACATGCGGGGGTAGGGTTTTTCCCGGGCCCCGATTCCGCGGGAGCGGGAATCGGGGCTCGAAACCGGGGGGAATTCTGCCCCCCAGGGGGATTTGGGACCCCTACTTGAAAGCCCCTTGCTGGGGGTCTCCATAGATCGGTTGCGACTCGACGGCACCTATGTACATAAATATTCTACCAGTCATTTTCATCAGGCAACCCTGAGTTGTACTATCTCCCACATTCTGTGCCCTTTCGCGTCTTTTAGTATATGTCCCTCTTGGTCTTTTTTTTCCCCTAATCCCAAACCCTTTAGCCATCCCTTGTGTGGAAGATGCTTCAGCCCTTCAGTCTTCTTTTCTTGCCTTTTCTGGAACTTTTCCCCGAGCCCCAAGCATGGGATGAGGGGCAACAGGTATGCCTCACTGAGGCCAGGGGATCCACTGAGATCCCGGTCTGGGGCGAAAGTGTGCTATCATGCTATGGTTAGTTCATGTCATTTCCAGGGCCGGCCTGAGGGTTTTTTGCACCCTAGGTGGGGCTATCTTGTGGCGCCCCCCCAGGTGAGGTTGTCTTGTGGGGGCCCCCCCTCCTGTATGAGCTGCCGCTAACCAGGAGGTGTTGCCAGCGGTGCTCCAGGCACCAGGCGATGAGAAGGCTTCCCAGCCTCTCCCCCCGTCCCCCATTATTCCTGAGATGAAGCCGGATGCGGGGGACAGTCGCGGATGCAGGGGGCTCCCTCTGCCTCCCCCTCCTTCCTGCCTGGGCGCCGAAGAAGCCCACGGGGCGCAGGCAAGCCAGAGGAGTGTGCGCCTAAGGATGCGGTGTCCAGCTAGCCAGCCAGCCAGTGACACCCGAACCCCGCAAGCGCCGCCTCCGCTCCTCGCCTCAGCCCCCCTTGGAGCCTCCAACAGCTCCCTCGGGAGGCCGCTGAGTCCGATGCCTGCCCAACTCGTCACCTCAGAACTTACCTTCCTGTAGGCCCACAAAAGAGGAGCAAAGCAACTGAAGGAGCGGGGCGCGCGCGCTAAATGGATCGATATTGCTTTAAGCCCCCCTGCTGTCAGGAAACTGAAAAAATATGCAGTGGCCAGGCCTGATTTTTTTCCTTTTCTTTTTTGCAGAAAACTGTGTGTGTGCTGGGAATGGAGGCGTGGGGTTCATTTGCAAAAGATTAGGTATCCTCTCTGTTAGCCTGGGAGGGAGCATGCATGGTTGTGAGTGCACGTATCCAACGGGGAGATGGGCACATATGAGCGTGGTTCCTGCCCAAGTGGGTGGGTTTATGTGCCTTTGAAAGGACCGAAAGGATGTGTTTGTAAAATAAATCAGTGTGCGAATGAAAGAGGCAATGCTTGTAAGTACATGAGAAGGTCCGTGCAGAGCTCGGAGCAGGGGGGGGGCTAGACCCCGGCCCCCTCCGCCCGGAAGAGAACCTGGGGCTGCCCCCTGAGCCTCGCCTTGCAATCGGGAAGGGGGGGAGGACACCACCGGGGGAGACTCCTGCCGTACATCTGAAGTGGGCCCTTTCAGTTGCGCCTCGCGTCAGGCGGCGTGTCCCCTTCCGACGAGGAGGAGAGTTGTTGCTCTTCTCCTTGCGAACTCCCAGCCATCCATGCTGGGGTGGGGACCGCTCTCCTGCTGCTCTCCTGCCACCGAAGCCCTGGCACCGAGGCGGGGGGAGCAGGAGGAGACGAGCGGGCTTGCAGGCCTGGGCAGGGGAAGCAGTGGGCTGATCCATCCCTTTTCTACTCCACCTTCCTTTCCCAAGGTGGCTCAAGGGGTGGGGAAGGCATGACGGCGGCGGGAGGAAGTCAGCGGGTGGCTCGGCCAGGTAGAGGGCGGTGGCGGGGAACGGCAGCAGCTTTTGGGGGGAGACCGGCACCCCATCCAGGGCCCACCACCTCATCCAGGGCCCGGCGCTCTAGGCGAATGCCTGGTTCGCCTAGCGGGTGAGCCGGCCCCGGTCATTTCAGAAGTAGAACTGAGATGTCACTTTCATGACACATGAGATTGTGAGTTGGATCCAGACTAACCCGGCAATTCCCACCGACTCCCTCTTTTGACTGCAACCCCCTCTCGTGTTGTTTCTCGGGGTCCCCGATTCCCTCAAAACAGCATTTCTGTGCGCTCAGTGTGCTGCAGTGGGAGGGGAAAGACAAGACCTGCTCCACTGCTGGAAAGTCAAGTTTGGATCCAACACGTCTATCATGGTTTTTTTTTATCCCACCCTTCCTCCAAGGAGACCGTCCATACCTCATCCTCTCTGAATCATTTCACACTCACGACAGCTCTAAGTGGCAGGTTAGGCTGAGAGAGAGAGTGACTAGCCCAAGGTCAACCAGTGAGCTTCAGGGCAGATGGGGATCTGGACTTGGGTCTCTCAGAACTTAATCCATCACAGGGGTCTGCGTCTACAGCTCTACAGCCAAACATGGGCTTTTCTGTATTCTGATTTTCCTCGCTTGTGTGTTTCCATTGCTTGGGCGGGTTGTTTCTGTTTTGCATGAGTTTTGCTCCCTCTAGAGGCCGCTTCGATATTAACTAACTTCATGTCTGTGTCATGGCTGACCATTCAGCTCAGTCAGTCTCTCCAGGGCCTCAGACAGGTCCAGCTGGTGAGGACTCAGGAGCAGGTGAGGAAAGCCTTGATCCATTGACCGAGGAAGTGCCTGGGTTGTTGACAGATGACAACCAGAGTCATCAACAAGTAAGGGCACTCCCCAGGAATTACTGCCAGAGTCGTTGACAGGCATGAACTCTTCCCAGGAACCGCAAGCCACCTCTGAGGAGGAGGAGGGTATCTCCCCACCTACGCTGCTAGAGCATTGAAGGGAAAAGAGACAGAGGCAGAAGGGAACGTGGCAGTACATGCTCACACCTGGAGGAACTGCTGGCTCCTTTTAAAGGACAAGAAACACTTGGATGAGGATGGGCTGCTGGAGTCCCATAAATACTGAGCGGTATTCTTCACTGGCAACAACTCTCATTCCAGCTCCCTGAGTTTCCTGTTGACTCCCTGGATCAGCTTTGCTTCCTGACTCCTTGTGCTTTGACCTTCATTCTAGATCTGACTACACCTCTTGAGCTTGCTCTATATCGGATAAAAGGAAGTCCTTCTTCACCCAAAGAGTGATTCACACGTGGAATTCACTGCCATGGGAAGTGGTGGAGGCTACAAGCATGGACGGCTTCAAAAGGGAATTCGATAGGCATATGGAGCAGAGGTCCATCGGTGGCTATTAGCCACAAGGTATAGATAGGGGCTCTGGGGCAAGGGATGCTCTGTCTTCTTGGTGCTTGGGGGGGGGGCAACAGTGGGAGGGCTTCTAATATCCTGGCCCCACTGGTGGACCTCTTGATGGCACCTGGTATTTTTGGCCACTGTGTGACAGAGTGTTGGACTGGATGGGCCTTTGGTGTGATCCAACATTGGCGTCTCTTATGTTCTTATGTTATATCCTGGTTCCTTGGGCTACGACCTTCATTCTGGACTCGACTATGCTTCTTGGACTCACCTTGTAATAGGGTTGCCAGGTCCCCTGGGGGGGTTGCCCACTCTAGGGGCCCCCGATCCACCGGCCTGGATCTGGCCAGCAGGGGGAACCCCACCCCCAAAGTGCCGAGATCACAATGATGTGCCCGGCACCAGGGGGATGCTCTAGCAATCGCCCTAAAAACTCGATGGTACCCCAACAATGCAATGGCATCACTTCTGGGTGACGTTATTGTGGCGTGTGCGCTCCACACACATGCCAGAGGACCCCGACCAGCAGCCTGGAGCCCCCCACCGGCAGCCAGGTAGGGCCTGGCAACCCTACCTTGTAAACTGGCTACTTGTGCTACAACATCTGAATTGTACCTGACCATGTCTCTTGGAACTTGCCCTGCCTTGATTCCTGACGTTGGTGCCTTGAACTCCAGCTGGGGGACTTGACTATAGTTGGGACACCATACCCAGATACCAGGGGACCTTCCTGTGACTTACTGGCACCGGGTCTTTTGCCTTGGCCACCAAACACGACAGTCTGGCACATCTCCTCGCATATTTAAACTGCAGGGTTTTACGCCAGACATGAAGGGCTGTAATATCAAATCAACCACTAAAGGAAGCAAAACACATGCAGAACCGGGTGGGGGGGACACACTGAAAGCAACAGGAACACACATGCAAGGGGAGTGAGAATACAGAAAAGTGTTATGTCCAGGGGTCATTTCATAGAAAAAGAGGTGCAGGAGCTCATTAGCATGACTTATTTGCATATGCCACACACCCTGACATCACTGGAAGTGTGCCAGAAGGCAACACCCACTGCTCAGGCTCCACTGGACTGTTTTGGATTGCTAGCTATGGGGGGGGGGATGTGCAGATCCTCGTGCTCCTCATGGCTCGGGGCTGCTGGGAGCAGGGGGTGGGGCTAGTTGCATGTGCCCGCCCCCTGGGCTCTCTACTGCTGGAGCTCTGCTCCTGTGGGAAATGACCCCTGGTTATGTCTCATTTACAAAAGAGTATACTGGACAGGGCAGTTCCAATGCTAGAATAAATCAGTATGTAAAGGGAATGCCAGGAATTGATTTTGATAGGACTGGGTGTGTGTGGTTAAAATGCTCTACAGAAAGGGAAATGATGCAAGTGAACAATGGCTAGCAATTCAAGCGTGAGCCATGCAGAGGTTTATGCCAGAGCACTCAAACAATCCCACAGGTTGCTCCTATGCATATGCATTACTTACCGTGAGACCTCATGTGCGCCAATTGCTAATAAAAGACTCACAACAACCATGGTTGGGCCTGCGTATGCTTTACGGATTAGTAATCACCCTGTCGATTATTGATAATATTCAGTTCCTATTTTCAGCTGTACTTTCTTATACTGGCTCTTTTTCAGACTCTCGCTCTGAATATTGACATACTTCGGCTTTTTAATTGTAAAAGGTTTCTGACCCTCCCTGCTCTAACCCCTCCACCAGGTTCACAGGTATGGGGTAGGCATGGGGTGGGTTCTATGGTGGGTCACGTTACATGTTTGTATGGGGCAGAGAGAAATGATACGTTTGGCCCTGCATTTGCCACATCCGCAATTGGGACCACCGAGGGCTATCTTCCCCCGTTCTATGTAAGGGTATTTTCCCTTTGCTAGCAGAAGCACATTACACCAAAAATCCCATCACACCTTTAAAACATAATTTAAGAGAAGCAAGAGTGTTGACAGGATTCTTTAAGGGCATGGCATACAACACGATTGCTGTATTCCTTGCAAACTGTCAATCACTGGGCAAGCGACATATGAAAACAACCTACCAGTTCCGTTGAGCGGATTCCCGTCAGCTCTCCTCCAGCTTAGCTCAGGTATCGGGACCCCAGTGGTCCCACACCGAAGCAGCACAGTGCTTCCCAGGATGGTCTTCACTTTGGCCACCGACGTGTGCACGAGGGGACTCTGACACTTCCGCAGCTCAACTTGACTGAATAAGACGCCTGCCAGGCTTCGCGGGTTGAAGCATTTCAGCCGGGGTTCAATGAACGCTGTGTTGGGCGACTGGAAGTTCAGGAAGTGAACCATTTCGTATAGACTGCAGTCGCAAGTCCAAGGATTGTCCTGCAGACCTGTGGGGGAGGGGTAGAATAAAGACGTTGGTTGGTTCTTTGCATCACCAGTGCACGAAACAAATGGAAACCTGCATAAATAGATGCATTTTCAGAGTAATCCTCTCTGCGTCCATTCACCCTTCACTCTCGGTCATTTCAGACTTTCTAATTGGGGAGCTTCTGAACGTATGGGTGGGGAGCGAGATCACCCTTGTAGACTGTACCCTGACCTGTTAATCGGAATCCAGGTACAGACTCTGTGCACATATGCATGTGGTGGTGGTGGTGGTGGAACGTTCCATCAAGCCACAGTTGATGTATGGTGACCAATGTTCCCTCTAAGCTGTGGAGTCTTGTGAGCAAAACTTCTACTTTGTGAGCTACTGGCATTACAGTTCTGAGTAATTTGGCCACTGCATAAATTAGTTTGCTCTGGAGCCCTCCTTCCTGAGCTAAGACAAAAATGTGTCAGCTGGAGGCTAAAAAACTGAGCTAGCTCACACTCACTCAGCTTAGAGAGAACATTGATGATGACCCCATAGGGTTTCCAAGGCAAGAGATGTTCAGAGGTGGTTTGCCATTGCTTACCTCTGCGTAGCAACCCTGGTCTTCCTTGGTGGCCTCCCATCCACGTACTAACCAGAACCAACCCTGCTTAGCTTCTGAGATCTTACGAGCTCAGGCTAACCTGGGCCATTCAGGTCAGGGCCATATGCATGTACATGCCTACAAATCTTTCTCCATGATCAGGAATTCCCGACATGTCAGAATCAGAATCATTCTATTGTATGTGGCCTTCACAATATCAAACACTCTCAGAGAGTTTGTGCATTAACATATGATAAAAAAATCAACCTCTACAAAACATATAAAACCTGTTAAGACGACCTCAATCTATAAATCCACCAGGCCCTTGACAATGTTCCCTCTAAGCTGTGGAGTCTTGTGAGCAAAAATTCTACTTTGTGAGCTACTGGCATTAAAGTTGTGAGCGAGTGATTTGGCTGCTGCATAGATTAGCTTGCTCTGGAGCCATCCCATCCTGAGCTAAGACAAAAATATGTGAGCCAGAGGCTAAAAAACTGTGAGCTAGTTCGCAGAGAAATGGCAGAAAGTGAAGAGGACGTAAAGAGCCTCTTGCTCAGGGTAAAAGAGGAGAGCGCAAAAGTGGGCTTGAAGCTCAACGTCAAAAAAACTAAGATCATGGCATCCGGCCCCATCACTCCTTGGCAAATAGAAGGGGAAGTTGTGGAAGTAGTGACAGACTTCACGTTCCTGGGATCCCAGATCACCGCAGACTGTGACAGCAGCCATGAAATTAAAAGACGCCTGCTCCTTGGGAGGAAAGCGATGGCGAACCTAAACAGCATGATAAAAAGTAGAGACATCACCCTGCCAACAAAAGTCCGCATGGTCAAAGCAATGGTATTCCCAGTAGTCATGTATGGCTGCGAGACTTGGACTATAAGGAAGGCCGAGCGCCGAAGAATAGATTCTTTTGAACTATGGTGCTGGAGAAGACTCTTGAGAGTCCCTTGGACTGCAAGAAGATCAAATCAGTCAATCCTAAAAGAAATCAACCCTGACTGTTCCCTGGAATGCCAGATAATGAAACTGAAGCTCAAATACTTTGGCCACCCAATGAGAAGGGAGCACTCACTGGAGAAGACCCTGATGCTGGGAAAGACTGAAGGTCAAAGAAAACGGGGATGGCAAAGGATGAGATGGTTAGACAGTGTCATCGATGCAATGAACATGAAGTTGAGCCAACTTCAGAGGACGGCGGAAGACAGAAGGGCCTGGCGGGAGCTGGTCCCTGAGGTCGCGAAGAGTCGGACTCGACTGTGCGACTGAACAACAACAAAGTTCACACTAACTCAGCTTAGAGGGAACAGTGTGAGCCGCACCCTATAAACTGAGGCCCTGGCCCCAATATTAACACCACCATTGACAGCCTGTGCTCCGCCAATATGACCCAGACTATGATGCCAAATAACTATATGCTTATGTTGGATGCTGACAATGCCCGCCATCGCTACATGACGGCACTAGCACTTATGTAATGCTTTTATCTCTTTATTCAGTGTGATTTTATTCAACTTCCTGTTTTATTTGTCCAGCTATCTCTATGTAAGCTGCCCTGAACATGCCTCGGCAGGGTGGGATAAAAGATTAATTAGATGAATAAATAGATGTGCACAGACCAAGTTTGCCACCCTAATCCCAGTCTTTCCCCGTCTAGTCCATTTTTATCACACTGTTCCTCTGAGGAACTCAAGGTGTGCCCAGTTCTCCCTCATTTTATCCTCATAACAACCCAGGGAGGCAGATCCAGTTGAGAGAATGCGACCAGCCCAAAGTCACAGCACAAACTGATTTAAAGAGTGGGGGGTCTGATTCTAAGTCTAGTCAGATCATAATCCAACTACTCCCACATACTGGGTGCGTTCAGACGGGGCGTTTCAGCCGGCATAAACTGTAGCGGTTGGACCCGGTGCAGTTTATGCCGGCTGAAACGTGATCACACTTACTTCCCTCCCCATCGCTGTATGCCCGTTCACATGCTGCGGGTGTCAGCGTTGTTTTTTTTAAACTCAGTTTGAGCATGCGCATAGGCAGCCATCCACAGAATGGCGATCTTCACACATGCGCAAAACACCCCGTATTACATTTAAAGTTTAAAGGTAAGGACTTACCTTTAAAGTTTAAAGACCAAACTGGCCTCCCTGAAGTCCCAGACTCCTCCGAAACGTTAAACTAAGGGCCTTTTCTTTAAAAAAAAAAAAAAACGCCAGGGCGAAGCTTCACCCAAGCGCATATCGGCAACCTAAAAAAAAATGGTGGGTGAAAATCGGAAGCCTCGGGCTTCCAAACTGAAGTGACTCTACAACGGAAGGCAGATGTTCTACGTGTGAACACCGGTAAGTTCACCGATTGCAACCGGCACCTATTCTGTTGCAAATGCCCCATCTGAACGCACCCACTGAGTCTGTTTATATCTTCATGTCAACGTCTGTCAAAGACACAGGCAGTCTTATGAGAAAGCGTGAATCCGCGCGGAGTTCAGAGGAGTAGACAGGATCGTTTTGTTTTTCACCGTTTCTAATGGCTTGGATGCTGGAATCCCAGGTTCACTTAATTCTCCATTCAGCCACAAAGTTCCGATGAGTGACTAGCTGTTGGTCGATCCTAACTCATAGGATTCTTGAGTGGCTAAAGAAGCCACCTCCATTGTCACACAGAATGCTTTCCCGCCAGAATTAATGATGGCTGTTGGCAACCGGACTGCAAATTCAAAAGGGCAGTCAAGTTCTTGAAAAAATAGGAGGATCGCGGTCTGTGAGGTAAAAAATTTAAGAAGTAGAATCAAGTCGTGGGTGAGTTTAATTTCTAGAAGCTGGGAGTACACACCACAATTGTGTGTTTTGGGGATTGTACTGTGTCGTTTGAAATCTTCTAGAGGCAATTTCACCAGTTAAGTGGCTCAAGTGGTTAAGACGCTGAACTGCAGGCTGTGGAAGGTCAGTAGTTCAGCAGTTCGAGACCCGGGTGCCGCATGACGGAGTGAGCTCCCGTCTCTAGTTCCAGCTCCTGCCAACCTAGCAGTTCGAAAGCAAGAAATTGCAAGTAGATAAATAGGTACCACTTCGGTGGGAAGGTAACAGCGTTCCATGCACCTTGGTGTTTAGTCATGCCGGCCACATGATCACGGAAACGTCTTCGGACAGCGCTGGCTCTTCGGCTTTGAAACGGAGATGAGCACCGCAACCCTAGAGTTGGACTCGACTGGCTTTTGAGAAAGGGAACCTTTACCTTTACTGTGTCGTTTGAAATCTTCTGGAGTCAATTTCACCAGAAAAGCAGCCTAGAAGTACCGGAAGTCAGCATGTATGCTTTCTGATTAAAAGAGGCTTCCATACTTAAGAAACTGGGGGGGGGCTGCGTGCAAGAGAAATGCAGTGTGATTGTTGCTGTAGGGGGAAGTGCCCAGTCCAAAATTTCCAGACTTCATAAGCCCGGCTAGCTGTTGAGCCCAAAGTATTTCTACTGGTTACCCAAAAGGGACTCATAATCCACAAAAAGAACAACTAATATCACAGTGTCTGCTTGCTGGGAATCCGAAAGAGACTCGTAATCCACAATGAAGAGAAGAAACACAATCCTTTCCATTGACAGCCCAAGGTGCGATAGTCCTCCAATTGTTCCCCTTCCTGTCTCTCATTTAAAGTTCCCAGCTGTTCGCTGGAGATCTTCTGGGATTGCAACTGATCTCCAGGCGACAGAGATCAGTTCCCCTGGAGGAAATTGCCCCTTTGGAAGGCAGACTCTGTGCCATTATATCCCACCGAAGTCCCTCCCTCCCCCAAACGCTGCTGCCCTCAAGCTCCACCCCCAAAATCTCCGGGTATTTCCCAACCCAGAACTGGCAACTCTAGACATTGCACCAGGCCTTCTTTTCTGGAGGAATACCAGAACAGAGTTCCAGAACCTCTTTGACACAATCAGGGGTCCTTTCGTAGAAAAAGAGGTGCGGGAGCTCATTAGCGTAACTCATTAGCATAACTCATTTGCACATGCCACACCCCCTGACATCACTGGAAGTGTGTCAGAAGGCAACACCCACCACTCAGGCTCCACTGGACTGTTTTGGGTTGCTAGCTATGGGGAGGGGATGATGTGCAGATCTGTCCTCGCAGAGGAGGGAGAGCTTGTACCTGAATAAACCTTGGCCTTAAAGGTGCCACTGGACTGTTTTGGAATGCTAGCTGGGAGGAGGGTACGCACAGATCTGTGCAGGCAGGCAGGCAGGCAGGCAGGCAGGCAGGAAGGAAGGAAGGAAGGGAAGGAAGGGAAAAAGAGAAGGAAGGAAGGAGAAAAGAGAAGGAAATAAGGAGGGAAGGAGAAAAGAGAAGGAAATAAGGAGGGAAGGGAGGAGAAAAGAGAAGGAAATAAGGAGGGAAGGAGAGAAAGAAAGAGAAGGAGGGAAGGAGAGAAAGAAAGAGAAGGAAATAAGGAGG